CCAGGTGATTAAACTCCCAGGACACAGATGAGACTTTCCAAAGGGCACCATTCTCATCTATGCGCTAAGGCCTGTTTTTTACAAACACATTACTATTATAAACTTTTAAAATATAAAATTAGAATACTTCTCTAAATTTTTTTCTTTTTTTTTTTGCATCCAGCATATGAAAAACAGATCATGCTTCCTAACTAGAGATGAAACTAAAAGAAAAAAATGAAACTAATGTGTCCCCATACTCTTTTCATCTAGAAGCAAAGATTTATTTACATGGTGTCAGTTTTCAATGTTGTGGTGAGCCATGAGGGGCAGGGCCCTCTCCATAGCATGGTTAAATAACCAACTGAAGACCCCTCCACTCCTACTGGAGTGTTTATTGCATATTTTAGGTGGCGTTGGAAGGCATGAGAAAGGTGGCCTGCAACTTTTACACATTCAAGAAATTTTCCTTAAGAAATGTCATGTTTGGAATAGTTTCCAGAAATGGTTCAAGAACAAAACATGTTAAAGTTCATGCATTACATTTAGAAGCACAATCTATTGGGAGAACAATTTCAAAAGCTCAAAAAAGGCTATTTTTCCATTGAGTTATATAGAAAATAAGTGAGCATTTTGTTGTATAGGTATGTGTTCAGAGCTTTCAAAAGTCACATCCTGTCACAATTAACAGCCAAATGACCATTCTTGGCCCTTGACCTATATATACACATTCTAATTCTGCAACTTGCTCACAGATTCTTATTAGCCTTTTCTAAAACAAAAAAAAGCCTACAAACTAGTTAGAAGTCTGCAAACCAGAAATGCAATACATTTTGTCCTTTTTTAACAACAAAATTTTATATTAGCTTTTTGGGAAAGTGACTCAGAAGAACTGACCCCCATTTTCATATTTTAAAAATAGTTATTCATAACACTGAAGAAATAAAATCTTCAATAGGAAGGCATTCTGCCTTTCACAAAGGAATACAGTAATTCTCAGCTTCAGCCAATGAATGCTTCCTTTTCCATCTTAGCCAGGCTCATTCGCTTTTTGTTAAACAATATATGACAGAATATTGGCAACCTTTCAAGAAAATGATTCAAAAGGTAATTTACAATTAGCTGGTGCTATCCCCTTTTTTCCCTTATGCCCTAATTTTATAGAAAAAAAATAAGGTCATTAAGCCAGGGGCAAGTGTACCAATCAAAATATACCTGGGCACTAGTGCTCAGGTCAAAGCTATAGAATGTGGTTGGGCTGCCAAAAACAATTTCTTGCCTGCATATTTGAGTGCTAACAGCAGGGGAATTCACATGCTTTTCTAGGGACAAAATTTAAAACTCAGGTGAAATTGTCCATAGTTGAACTTGCTATTCCATTTGGGTTAAGTCTAATCTTTCTTATTCTCCTTTTCTCATGCCTTCTTCCTATCATTTTTATATCTGATACCTGTTCTTTATAATTTCCTCCAGATATTTTTTCTAAGACATGTTTCATAGATTACACCACAAAGACCTAAAAGGAGGAAAAAGGCTAAAGAACATTAATCTTTGGAGCTGTAAGCATTTAAGCTTGCATATTTTTAAACTTATGTTATGTATGAAATTCAGACACTTAATTACATCACAATTTAGGCACTTTGGATGAACCTTACTTCATAATGTTATGACTACTATAAACCTTCCAAATGTGATTATTATCAGTCTTTGTTAACTAGTAGTGATGATAAATTTCCATAAAATTCACAAAGGCCTAGGAGCAGACAGAATCAAAAAGAAAGAACTTGATTGTGGGTAAGTAGCATGTTAATTAAAATAAGATTCTAAGCATTGTTCTTATGCTAATAGAAAGGAGAAAAGGATCAAACTTAGTGGCTTGGGACATCTGCTTATGCAAAGATCAGGGTTTGGTCCCTGGCCTCATGGCCTTTCTAGTTTTGTTCCACCCACAGACAAAAGGGTAACAGCTGTATTAATGTGAGGGATCCTCACCAATGTCTATCATGCAGTGTATGCTCAAAGATCATGTACAAATGGATAAAAGTCAACTCAAAGACACTGACAGAGAGAAATCAGCTGTGGCAGACTTCAACAGGTGAATAATCCAAGAGGATAAAAATTAAGTAGTTAATAACATTTTGTATAAGATTTTATTATCTAAATTCAAGGATAGCCATATCTTACTTCACTAAAAAAAATTATGTTTGTGCTTGGCCAGACAAACCAGCAAACACTCATAACAAGCACAAAACCATCCCCACATTCTAATGCCAGTTTGAAAACAATTCTGTCACCATGAACCAACAGTATAACCTTGAAATGAAGATAACTCCTACCGTAACTCTTCTCCTATAGCTTTGTATGGGTTAACTAAAGTTGTGAAGAAATTTGAAGATAAAAATACCTGTTTTTAATTGCTGTTAGCCCTCAGATTAAGCACCAAATCAGAAAAAAATAAATAAAAATCACCCCATCCCTAAATTTTGCCTTCTTAGAAATGATTGCCCTGAAGTAGCATAATGACTTAGGCTAAACAGTTTTTGACTGCAAACACTTGCAGGCAGGATTTATGAATGGAGACATATGAAGGCCACTCTGACCAGCTTTAAAGCCCCATACTTTCTTCTTGGGCTATTTATAGAAAGTGGCTAGCCAGTGGAAAAGAGCACATTTATTTTTACAAGCCAGTCATGACATGACCAAAGAACTCAGGGAAGGCCATCTTCTTCAGCTGGGGGTACAGCTGCAAGGGCAGGGAAGAAAGGGACCCCCTTTAGTCAAATGAATCAGCCTGTCAGCCCCAGAGACCAACCCTACAGGGTGATAGGCATTGAAGTCAAACATCCTCATTTCCCAGGCATGACTCTATGATGCTGCTGCTTGAGATGTCATCTAGATTATGACAAACATGTAAAAGTAAAATGCATTATATAATATGCTTTAAAATGCTATGCTTTCAAAATAGATTTTACAGAGATAAAGAAGTGCACTCTTATTTATCATTTGTCCTGCATTTCAAACAGCTGAACACAATAAAGTAAAACTGAATTTTAAAGGAGGTGGCAAAATGGAGAGTGTGAAAAATATTTTTAAAGCTATTTTATTCTGATGGCCATATTACCCCTGAAATATGTAATATACCTGAATAGTCCCATGCAAATTTGGAGACTTAGTAAATATTTGCTGATTCTAAAATTTCATCATTTACCTTGACAGAAATCTGATATAATTTAGCAAATAACATATATAGTTTTACAAACATCCCTGAACTTGTGCAGTGTTCGTGGTATCTATCTGCAAATATGAAGTGAAGTGAAACCAAAAATTCTGTTTTCAACTAGAATTTCCTGTTGTCGATGGTATATGTGGTATATAAAAACTAAGATAGGATGGGAAAGGGAAAGTGGAGGAAAGAAACTTTTGAAGGGTAAATGGCATCATAATCATTTGAAAACGATGTGGGTGTAATTTTATCCTTAACTGGCTTCTTCTTAAGAACAAAAACACAGGGCAAGAAGAGAATTCTGTTTGCAGACCCAGATCTACAACAAACAAAAATTTTAAATGACAAATACCAGATTTATTTTTTGTTCTCAAACTCAAGCCTTTTTAGAAGGCTGTCTCTTTAAAGTTCCTTCTGAAAATGGAGGTTCCATTTTACAAAGAAGCTAGAAAATACTCATCAAGTTATGTCTTTAGCTTCTTTTGAGGCTCTAGAAGAGACAATAATGACATGCAGCCCTAACCGGTTTGGCTCGGTGGATAGAGCATCGGCCTGCAGACTGAAGGGTCCCAGGTTCGATTCCGGTCAAGGGCATGTACCTTGGTTGCGGGCACATCCCCAGTGGGAGGTGTGCAGGAGGCAGCTGATCGATGTTTCTCTCTCATCGATGTTTCTAACTCTCTATCCCTCTCCCTTCCTCTCTGTAAAAAATCAATAAAATTTATTTTAAAAAATAATAAAAAAAATAATGACATGCAAATAACTTTGCAGGTGGAAATATCATGCCCCTGAATGCATATACTGAATTAAGTTACAGGTGAGGAATGACATCTGTAGTAGACACAAATTTTCAGCCTCTGTACCTTAACAGACATCTCCTTAGCAAACCTGCAAAGATGAGACACAATCCCCAGTAAGAAGCTCTAAATTAAATATAACATATATAAAGTTAACTTCTATGTGAAAAGTAACATGCCAGCATACTGGTTCCTCCAGGGAACTGTGCCAGCCTCATCAGTTTATAAATATAGTAGTGATCAAAAGCACAAACAAAAACAGCAATATATTTAGGGGCATCAGCCTACCAGTGCTGAGGTGAATGTTCATCTACTTTATGTGCCTGATCTAAATTATACCATGAGGTCAACACTTTCCATTCAATGACTTATTTGGCTCCTAACCAAAAGGATTTCTCAGAAGTGTGATAGGTATTTAAATGAACTACCTTAGTGGTAATCTAGGGATGCCATCTCAAGTACAGGTTAGCTTTTATAAAAAATGTCTTAAATAACACTGGCCAATGTGGTTTTTAGAAAGGATCTCAGGAGTGTGTTCACTCATTTCTCCATGATTTAGGATGACTGGCATTCATTACCATATTCTGCATCCAAATGAGACTTAAGTGTTTAACTAGGCAAAGGTAATCCTATTTAATTCAAAAATTTCAGTTACAATTTAAGCAATATGCTCCTGCCTGTCACACTATAACTGCTTCATTTATTCCTGAGTATTATATTTTAGCAACGATAGATGGCATCAGACTAGAACAGTGTCCTCTCACCTTCCCCATCGGCTGCACTAGGAACTATAGCCACATTAGTGGGTTGGCCCCTTCTCCTAGTAGAAAAGCCAGATGCTCTGCATGTCCTGGTAAGCTACTTCTGGTGCTACCAAAAACTTGAAACCAACTTCCTCTTCCTTCCCTCCTGGGTGGAATGTTAAACCCTGATTTGCAGTACAGTAAGCAAAGTTTACTCCAACTGCTCTCCCCTATATTTGAGGACCAGTCATTTGGGCATTGCTTCAAAGGCACATTTATTCTAGTGGTAATTTAAATAAGTAGAGAAGGAAAGAATCAGATTAAAAGCAAAACAAACCAAAAATAGGATAGGTTTTGTGGAATACATTCCAGTAAATGGGCATCTGGGATCTACACAGACCACTGAGCTCCTCACCAGTAGTCTAACCAGAGTCCCTACGGTAGAATAATTCACATTTGAATCATGGCACACAGGCCTTCAGAAAACACTGTTTAAGAAAGTAGTTGAGAACTCTCAAGCAGCTTGCCCTGATGTCCAGTTCAAGTGTATGCAATGCAGAAGGGCTGCGAAATTCATAACTACATCACAAAATTCAGTGCATATAACAGGCTTATGAAAATTATTGTATATATTACTATTTAAATAACATCTGAGAAACATTTTGAAATAATTAACTTGTGTTGTTCACATTCCATGCATTTTCTAGTATGTTAAGCCCTGGGCTTATGTCTTTGTGCCCGTTTCCTACAAAGCTCCATTCTTTTGACAAATCCAAGCACTCCTGAGACTGAAATGGAAGTATCCAGGGATTTTGTCTACTTACCCTCTTAAATGCATACCTGACCTCACAAGGGCTACGTATTATTACCGCTGGCACAGAAGACGACTGGAAAATATAACTGATTTGGGTTTTATTTGGGATTTTATTCGCTGCCTTCAAAAACTCCCTGGATGTCACAGACACCACCTGAATTTTGTCCATGGGCAAAAACCAGTGGCCCTCCCCCTCCTGCTTGACCCACTTCCCTCACCCAAAGCCCCAAGTGCACTGGATCCCCACCCCCCACCCCACCCCCATCATATTGGACTTTTCCCCTGTGGCTCTGCAGCACCCTCCTTGAGCAAAGAAGGAAACAACAAAACTGGAAAACAAACCAACAACAGTAAAAACAGAAAGTACAAACAGGTGCAAACCAGCAGCCTCCTGCAAGGCAGAGGCTCACTTTTTACTGCTGAATTCGGAGCTGTTCAGGAACTTCTTGATGACCAGCCCCAAACAGACGACCAGCAGCAGCATGTAGCCCACGGTGCCCGAAAAGGTGGGAGCAGCAGGGGGCGCCTTGAGGAATTGGCGCAGGCCCTCCTCGACGTAGTACACCTGGTCGTAGATGCTGAGGAAAGTGAAGATGTGGAAGAGCTGGTGACTGTGGCCTATGATGTCAAAGAGGCCAGGTTGGATGCGCTCGGGGATCTTGCTCACATTAAAGAAGGCAGCCACCACCAGCCAGAAGTAGCGGCGGTAGAAGTGCACGAAGAGCGTGGGGTTCTCGCCTCGCAGATCAAAGAGCCAGCTCTCAAGCATGATGGGGCAGGCCATGCTGAGCGGCATGACGAAGACGAAGGTGCGCAACGCGAACGGGTAAGAGCACCAGTCTGTGCGGCTCTTGCAGCAGGCCACGGTGCAGGCCACCGCCAGCACAAAGGCCACAGGCAGCACGAGCGCACGGTAGGCGGCGATGAGGCGCGTGCAGTCCACATGCCAGCCCAAGCGCTGCTGCACATAAGGGGTCATCACTCTGGCGTCCAACAAGCTGAGGCCCGGCAGCAGGTAGTAGTAGTAGGCCACCGTGCTACCGAAGCCGTAGTAGCTGATGGACGCATAGTCCAGGTAGAAGAAGGCGGCTCGCAGGCGCAGAGACAGGCAGCTGAACACGTGCGCTGTGCAGCTCATGGCAAAGGTCAGCAGCACGCCCGACGCGTAGCACCACAGCGGCAGCAGCCAGGGGTGGTGGAAGGGCACATCCCGGCCGCTCAGAAAGAACAGGCGGCAGAACTTGCTCAGGAACAGCAGAAGGGGGATGAAGTGCGTCCAGAAGTTGAGAGTCTCGTTGGTGGGCTTCAGCACCGAGGCTAGGCACTCCTGCACCGTGCAGGGCAGCCGCCGGTAGCCCGATAGTATGAAGCACTCCACGAAGTCGTCGGGCACCTCGTCCCAGCGCAGCAGCGGCTTGGCTGAGGCCGGAGAGTCCCTGGAGGCTGAGGGATGGGGGCGCGAGGCGGCCTCCAAAGCCGCCTCGGTCGTGGCCCGTGGGCCTTTTGTGCCCGCGCTCCGGGGCTGCAGGCGTCGCAGCATGGTGCCCCAGGCTTGGCTAGGACGCCAGCAGGCGACCTCTGGCGCCTGCGTCCGCGCACTCCGCAGTCCAGCCGGCTGCCGTCGGAGCCTTTGTGCTCGCCCCGGGGCGTCGCTGCAGGTTCAAGAGAAGACCTAAGCCTCTAAGCAGACGTTCCTAAAAATAAGCAAGTAAATAAAAATAATCAGTTTGTAAGCAGTCAGCGACTGGCAGGAGCGCGCGTGGCTTGGTGTCCCCTTCACCAGGCTCCCTGCTATCGGCTCCC